CAGTCAACTGCCCTTTACCAAGACGTTCCTCACCCTCTGAAAGCAAGCTTGATACCAGTGTACTCTGCGGGTCTATACGCAGCTTTATTAAAGCCTGCAGTGCATTCAGCAGCCCAGTGTTTGACAGTTTCGAGCACTCGAATTCAAACTGGAAGCATAATGCCCTGAAAACATCATTCTCCAACACTTCTTCCGGGTTTTTCAGACCACTGTCATCCACCTCAACTTCAGAAATCCTCTGCAGAGCTCCCGATGCCATAGTATCAGACATGACTTTCACAGAGGTAAGGAAGTAAAAAATGTCTTTTGATGTACAAAGGCTGTTCAGTTTCTTGAAAAACAGTTGTTCATCCATCCACTCATTATCAGATTTAGGACTGCTCCCAGTATCTCCACAAAGATGCACAGTTTCATTAACAGAAAGAGACTGTACCCTCAGTTGGTCGTGTTTTTTTCTACAAAACATATACTGAGACTTATCTTTGAAATACAGCATCCTCATGGCTACAGAGCTACAGTTCTGGGGCTTTTGCTGGCCACTGAGAAAGCTCAGGCTCTTGCTCAGGGTCATCAAAATGGACCTGCCTGCTGGAGCGCTGGATGAGTAAAACTGGAAACTTTTTCGGCTAATCAAAGCCATATTGGAGCCACCGGGTTCTCAAATGAAACCTAGAGGAAGAAAAATGCAGATATAGTTTGGAAAATACCGTGCTATTCAAACGCAGCAAGGAAAACCGTCAGCGGCGGGACACGGCTGGGACGGATCCTTCTGCCACAACAAGCAGCCCGAGGCGGGGGAAGAGGCAGCTGCGGAGGGCGGCGGGCCCTGCGTGACGGGCTGCACCTCTGCCCCGCGTCCCGGCGAGGGCACTGCGGGGCGCGGGGGGGCTGGGGACACGTCCCGCCAGGCGAGCACCGCGCGAAGGCGCGTTTCCCTTTGCCCTGGGGCGCGAGGGGGCGGCAGCGCGAGGGGGGCACCGCGGAGACCCGCGGCTGGCGCGG